TTGGAGAACTGCTTCTCCAACCTAGTCCATCCCTGATACCGTCTACCCTACAGGAGCCCAGGGATAGAGACTGGATATCTACAGGGCTGCTCTGTACACCTGTTCAGGTTGTATACTGCACAAGGGCACTCAGCACAAGGGGGCAAGTGTGGGCTCAGATCCATCCAGCCTTTTGCTCTGCTCACTAAAGTGTTTGCTCTGGTGTAGGGCTGTGTTTCTCTGGAGGAAGAGGAGCTTTTTCTAATAATGCCCCGAACTGAGTTTGAACTATGACCATGGATGTCTATGCTACTCCTGCTTGCAGGGGAAGCTGGACACTCCTTTCCTGAATAAACAGGGCCTGGGAGGGAAGCTTAAGGCTTCCCCAGGCTTAATTCCTCATCCCCCAGACTGAAAACCAAACCAAACCAAACCCCCAAACTCACTGCCATTGAGTTGGGTCCAATTCACACAGCGACCCCTCCTTGGGTTTCCAAGGGCGTTATCACTACTGAAGTGGATTGCCAGACAAGAGTTGGCTGTAGTAGTTTCCACTGGACCAATGAGGCCACAAGGTGTTATCACCATCTATTTCTGGCTCTCAGGTTTCATGAACCCTGGCTTCCAGGGTTGCATCTCTTTCCCTCAGACCTCAGTTTCTTATCTTGAGGAAGGATGGCACCCCAGTTCCAGACAGCAGGGACTTCTTGAATGGAATGGTTTTTGTTACTCTCCAGTTGATTCCAATTTATGGTGACCCCATGTGCGCAGGGGCCTCTGGTGGCCAAGTGCTTGAGACACTTGACTGCTAACCAGACGGCTGGTGGTTCAAACCCACCAGCCACTCCTCAGAAGGAAGGTTGGGCAATCTACTTCCATAGTGGTACCGCCTCAGAAACCCAAGGAGGGGTCGCTATGAGTCGGATCCGACTTAACGGCTCACAACAACAACAGCAACAACCATGTGTGCGGAGTAAAAGTACACAGGGTTTTCAATCCTGTGACTTGTTGGAAGATCCCAGGCCTTACTTCTCAGGAACCTCTGGTTGGGTCGGAGCCACCAACTTTTGGTTAGTAGTCCAGTGCTTGACTATTTGACACCCAGGGATGGCGATGACAGGGGAAAGCTCCCATTTCTCTAACCCTTTTTGCCCTGAAATCCTTCCAGTTTTAAATCCATGTCCCACTTTTGAGGTCCTAAGCCAACAAATCTCACAGAAGGAGCTAAAATAATAGAACTTTTTAATAAACCTTTTTCCCCCCAAACAATTGGTTTTGATCTTCACCACACAGGGGCCGTGGTGGCGAGGAAAGCTTATCCAGGTGTTCTAAAAAGTGTCCACCATGGACTTGGGAGAAAAGTACTCCTCCGGTGTCGGGAGGCTGAAGGGGGCTAGAATGAACAGGCCTCAGGGGTCAGCCTGTGCCTGACAGAAACATCCCTTCAGACTGCGCCTGGGCGGGGCTCCTCCTGGAGCTTTACAAAGGCTCCCTGGTGGAAGACGTGCTGCAGGTGCACCCCTGTGAGTCCTCGGGAGAGGCATCAGCGGCTTCCCGGGGTGCCCCACCCCAGCCTTGAAGTGGGGAAGAGTTAATGGCCAGAGTGGGGAGGGGGAAGGGCCAGCCCCCACACACACGCCCTCCAGGGGCTGTCTGCAATCCGGGCAAGCCAGGAGGCAGGAAGAGGCGGCCTGATCCCAGGGTAAGAGGCGCTGGGAGGGGATCGGAAGGCAGCGAGGCCAGGGGCGGGGACTGGGGCCAGAGACGCCCCCCACCTCCGGGGATACCCCCTGGCTCTTCAGTCTCAGCACCGCAGTCAGAGGTGATGGGGCGCCAGGAGCAGGAGGCAGAGCAGCGGGGTGGGGAGCCCGGCCGCGAGCGCAGGGCCGCGGGAATCCGGGGACGCCTGGCAGGCTGCGCCCGGGCACATGTGCTCGCCCCTCTGGTCCTCGCCACCGTAGCCCCCCCAGTAGTCGTCCTCCGTGGGCGCGTCTCCGCCCTGGCGCCCCCGCAGGTCCTCGGCGGGAAGGTCTCGGTAGAGGGTGGATGGGTCGGCGGGGGGCGCCCCAGCCTCGGCCACCCCGTAGAGGTGGTTGGAGGAGCTGTTACCGCGGGCGCGGCTGCCCGGCCGCGTGGGCACCGCGGGCGGGCAGGCCTGGAAGTCTGCTTCGCGGAGGGCGCGCAGGTCGCGGCCCTGGCGCTCCGGGGGCGTGGCGCACGTCACGTCGGAGCTGGACACGCGCGCGCGCTGGAACCAGGCCCAGAGCGGCCGCGCGCGGCAGTCGCACGCCCAGGGGTTGGCGTTGAGCCGCAGGAACTCGAGCGCCGGCAGGTCGGCGAGCGCCTCGCCCGGCAGCGAGGCCAGGCTGTTGTTGAACAGGTAGAGGATGGTGAGGCGGCTCAGGCCGCGGAAGGCCGCGCGGTGCACGCCTTGCAGCCGGTTCCCGTGCAGTAGCAGCCGGTCCAGGCTGCCCAGGCCGCGGAACACGTGCTCCGTGAGCAGCCGCAGGCGGTTCCCGTGGAGGAAGAGGTGGCTCAGGTTGGCCAGGTCCGCGAACAGGTCATCCTGCGGGGAGAAGAGGAAAGGCGGAGAAGAGCATGAGCCTGAGGACGCCACCCTGCCCCTCCTCCCAGGGGAGGAGGGAGGCAGGCAGGCACTGTGGCAGAGTAGACAAGGTGTCGCCTTTTGGCTCACAGCCCTGGGTTCGAATTCTCCCTCTGACCTTCTCGCTGTGGGAAAAGCAGCATAGTTGTGGTCAGTGGCTCTTAACCTTCAGTAGCATCAGAATCCCCTGGCAAAAAAAAAAAAAAAAAAAATCGAAAACTTGGCTCTAAACACCTTACACATGTTGCCTCATTTCATCTCCACATTTTACAGAAGAGGAAATTGAGTTCCAGCCAATGAGTTTCCGACTCATAGCGACCCCCACTGGGTTTCCGAAGCTGTAAATCTTTATGGAAGTAGATTGCCCAGTCTTCTTACACGGAGTGGCTGGTGGGGTTTGAACCACTGACCTCCGGTTAGCAGTCAACTGCCTTATCCAGAAGGCTGGTTAAAGCGCTGATCCCTGAGCCCCGCCCCCAGAGCTTGTGAGTCAGTAGGGTCTGGGCTGGGGCCTGAGAATCTGCAGGTCTTCACAAGGTCCCAGGTGATGCTGATGCTGGTGGGGAAGCTACACTCTGAGGACTGCTGGTTTCCTTCAGAGGCGCCCTGGTGGCGCTGTGTTGAAGCGTTCGGCTGCCAACAGGTCAGCAGTTTGAACCCACCAGGCTTTGCGCGGGAGGGAGATGAGGAAGTCTGTTTCCATAAAGCCTTGGAAATCCTATGGGGGCAGTTCTACTCTGTCCTCTAGCGTCTCGGTGAGTCGGAATGGAGTCGACAGCAGTGGTTTTCTGGGTGTCCTTCTCCATGCCTACTGGAGAGCCAGGCTTCCTGGCTCTAGCGTTGTCACCTTGGCAAGTCACTCAGTATCGCTGGAACTCAATTTCCTCTTCTGTAAAATGTGGAGATGAAATGAGGCAACATGTGTAAGGTGTTTAGAGCCAAGTTTCAGTGTGGTCAGCACCCTGCGAGTTAACCAGAGAGGGGCCAGAAGTCCAGCCCTCCCACAGCCTCGAGACACCACTTGTACAGGGTACCACTGGGTCACCAGGTACCGGGAAGGCTGGTTCTAGGCACAGGGACATCCTCCCTCCCCAGTCTGCCCACACCCCCAGCCTCCACCTTCCTGTGCGCCCTCTGTGATCGCCCCCTCCCATCTGGCTTCCACCCCCTTCGCCACAGGACTGAGCCTGCCAAGAGCCCTCCTTTTGGCCACATGGAGATCTGTCCCTCTCGACCTTCTCACAGCCTCTGACACCAGCATTTTCCGCCTCCTGCTGCCAGTGCCTCTTCCTGGCTCAAGTCTCCAGCCGGCACCCTGCACCCTCTTGACCTCTCCCATCCCAACGTGGCCCATCCAGGAGAGGGTTCTGAATTCCTTTCAATCAAATATCTAATTATAGAGATTTCTCCTTTTCATGGAGTGTCAGCAAGAGTAGGACACACCCAGAGATATCTGGTATGAGGACCAGTATGGGGGGGGGGAGCGGGTTAATGGGCACTTTGGCACTTCGGGAGGTCGGGGAGGGAAAAGCCAACTTCGAAGACCCCAGGGAATTCAGGCGCCTTTGACCCACAGCCCCATTAAGCCAGCCAGAGGATTTCTCTCCTCCTCTTTTGTTCTCTGCAGAAGTCTTGCCTCTTCTCAGAGCCTCAGCCTTGGGGTCCCCTCCCCTCCCCCCGGTCCAAGCTGTTCCCAAATCCACTTCCTGGGCTGCCCTGCTCTAATCTGGTCCTTCCTCTCTCGCCATCCTCCACCGTTATTCCCGTTCGCTGTGCATTAATAAGCTCTTGACTTTCACAGCCCTCGTCCTCGCCCTCCCCCTCCCCCGGCCCACCTCCTCATGGCTCCCTCCCTCTGGGTTGAGAGCCTCTCCGGTCTCACAAACCACATCTCCCTGCCTCCCCCGGCACAGGCCCTTCACAGCTTTCTGTATCCATTTGGAATCTCAGGGAAACATCGTTCCCTGCCCCCCTTCCTGGACGGCATTCTGTTTTTAACTTTGCCTCCCTTCATCCTCCTGGCTGGCTCTGGCCTGAATCTGATCAGCTGCTGGGCTGTGTGACCTTGGGCAGCTCTAGATACCTCTCTGGGCCTCAGCTTGTTTCATCTGTGAAACAAGGGACTTGGAATCTTTAAGAGCCCATCCTCATCTGATATTTATGAGCTGGCGAGCTCTGCAATGCACCTCATTCATTCACTGAAGCTGTATTGAATGTCTGCTCTGTGCCAGGCGCCCTCGATCACAGAGCTCACCAGTCTATGCCAGGCTTCACCATCAGCATCAGCATCAAGCCTGTGACTTACCAAGCTCTTACTACATGCCAGAGTCTGGTACACAAGTCCCATGTCATCGTAACTCTATCACACCCCCACTCATTGCCATCCAGTCAGTTCCCACTCACAGCAACGACCCTATAGGCCAGGGTGGAACTGCCTCAAAGGGTTTCCAAGGCTGTAATCTTTACGGAAGCAAATTGCCTCCTTTTTCTCCTAAGAAGTGGGCTGATGGGTTCAAACCACTGACCTTCTGGTTAGCAGCCAAGTACTTAATCACTATGCCACCAGGGCTCCTACAACCCTGTTAACCAAACCCACCATCATCCAGTCAATTCCAACTCATGGAGACCCCCTTGGGTTTCAAAGGCTGTAAATCTTTACTGAAGAAGATTGCCTCATTTTCCTCCATAGAACAGCTGGTGGGTTTGAACTGCTGACTTGCTGGTTAGCAGCCAAATACCTTACCCACTACACCACCAGGGCTCCTACAACCCGGTTTAAAAAAAAAAAAATCGAACCAAAATAACCAAACTCACTGCCGTTGAGTCAGATCCCACTCATAGAGACCCCTCCTTAGGTTTCTGAGGAGATATCACTACAGAAGTAGATTACCCAGCCTTCCTTCTGAGGAGTGGCCGGTGGGTTTGAACCGCCAGCCTTCTGGTTAGCAATCAAATGCCTTAGGCACTACGCCACCAGAGCACAACCCTGTTAGGCATGTAATATTAACCCCATTTCAGAGATCAGAAGACAAAGACTCTCTAGGGTCCAACAGCTAACCTTCTGGACAAGGAGGTGAACTTCAGAGACAAGACCCTGAATAGCTGCACCCTGGCATGACAACTAAAACAAACTTGCTGTTGAATTGATTCTGACTCATGGAGACCCTATAAGTCACAAAGTAGAACTGGTCCACAGGGTTGTCTTGGCTGGACTCTTTACGAAAGCAGATCAGCAGGCCTTTTTTTCTGGGATGCTGCTGGGTGGTTCGAACCACCAACCATCAGGATGGTAGTTGAGTACAAACCGTGTGTGTCACCCAGGAACCTCTGCAGTCAGACAGACTGGGCTAGTTCTAGGCTGTGGCCCTTACCAGCTGAGAGACTTTGTTGAGCCCAATGGTCTCAGCTGTGTAAATGGGGGAAGTGATAAATCAGTCTCCCGCTGAGTCAGCTGCAACTCAGTGACCCCATGTGTGTTGGGGGCTTCAGTGGTTGATATTTTGGCCATACATTGCCAGGCCTTCCTTCTGAGGCACCCCTGGGTAGGCTCGAACCCAGTAACCAAGCACGTTAACCAGCTGC